GCCCGGGCCCCCGCCCCGGGACGCTTGTTCCGGCCTATCAGCGCCGAGGACGAGGAGCAGCAGCCCACCGAAATCGAGTCGCTATGCATGAATTGTTATCGCAACGTGAGGCGGGGGCGCGGCCGCGGGCAGCGGGAGAGTTGGGCTGAGGCGGCGAGGGGCGGGGGTCGGCGCCCGTCTAGGTGGGCCTAGTTGGGGACCCGGAGGCGAGGCACTCCTGGAGGGTCATTAGACAGGGAATTGGGGATTCGTTGGTTTTTATTTGGCTCTTTTCTTTTTCTCTAGGGTGTGACGCGCCTCCTGCTCACCAGGATACCCTTTTTCAGAGAAATAATCGTGAGCTCTTTTTCCTGTGAACACTGTGGCTGGAACAACACCGAGATCCAGTCGGCAGGCAGGATCCAGGACCAAGGAGTGCGATACTCCTTGAATGTCAGGGCCCCGGAGGTGAGAGGAGCCCAGAGCAGGTACCCTGGTGTCTTAGAGAAAGCTTGAGGATTGGAGCCAGAGCTCTGGTCCAGGCAGTGGGACCTTGAATAGATCTCCCTAAGTGTCCAAGTCTCAGTTTTTCTCTTTGTAAAATGATGTTGGTGCCGTCGTCTGCTCAGGTGAGATAAGACTTGTGAAAGTGCTTTGTAAATTTTGTCAGGGTATCAAATGAGCAAGTAGATGTTATGAAGAGTACTCTCACCATTTGGGCAGCCTGGCTCACACGCCATATGTAGTATTCTGCAGTATTCCGTTTCCCCAAAGTGGAGAGAGGAAGAAATAGCTGCGCTGGCGTCTGATGGAGGGAAAGGGAAAGGCTTGTATTTCCAGAGGAGAAGCGGTACTGCTGACTTCTCTGGCCTGAAAGTTTTTCTTTCTGCATAGGACATGAACAGAGAAGTAGTGAAGACTGACTCTGCTACTACAAGGATCCCAGAGCTGGATTTTGAAATTCCTGCCTTCAGCCAGAAGGGAGGTAAGTTTAAGATCATGGTATATGGGTTTTTCATGCCTAGCTGGAATCTTACTTTCTTGCAAGATCCCTGGTGCCAGGTCTACTGGCTGTGTATGGGTTTGGCCATGTAATCATTATGATCTACTTTGGTTTAATATTAGCAGAAAGCCTAAGAAAAACAGCTTGAGATAGTAGACAGTGATAGTAAGACTGTGATATGTTTATTACAGAGTTTTAACATCACTCTTATTAGAGCTGAATGGAACCTTGTTCCCAGCCATCTCATTTTACAGATGAAATCAAGGCCCAGAGAGTCAAGTAAATTGCCCAGGGTTATACAGGCACTTGATAACAGAGCCAAGATTCACCTGTCTTTTGTTCTTATTCACCAGCTCTGACCACTGTTGAAGGATTGATCAGCCGAGCTATTTCTGGCCTGGAACAGGATCAGCCCACACGAAGGGTGAGCTGGCGTTTTCTGATTGCAGCAGCTCAAGGAATAATTATTTACATGTGTCTGAATAGAATATTCAGCTTTCCATGTAGCTGAACTGTCTCCGACTGAATGTTGGAGAACTTTTAGGGGAAGCATATGGTGATGCTATAGCTTCCAGGATGTTGCATATGTGTGACTACTGTCCTTTCCACTTTCCTTCCCCCATCCTCTCTTCAGGCCTCATCTCAGACAAAGGAATGTTACTTCTGAAGAGCCTTTTATAATCCTCTTGGGTTTATGCTTTTAGAGTGTTCCATTTTCCTTACATTTATTATGACAAATAACATAATTGCATATTTAGTCATCTGTCTTCCTAACTGGCTGGAGAGCCCCATGAGAGGACTCCGATTTATTTAACATGGCAAGAGTGCCAGAGCTGAATGAATGAGAGAAAATGAGGCCCACCTGGCAGCACCCTAAATTTCATACTATTTGCTACATCTTATTGTGAGTGAAGTCTGAGACTTTTCAGTACCTACTCATCCTAAGACTGGTAGTGACTTCCTGATGGAGATGATGTGGGCATGACAAGAAATGGGGGCATAAAGTCTGTCAGCAGGGCTGATGCTTTCACTCCTTGTTCATGTCAGGTAAATGAAGAAGCTATAGCGGAAAGAATCGATGAGTTTATTGTCAAACTGAGAGAGCTAAAGCACGTGGCCTCTCCTTTCACTCTGGTGAGTATTGAGGGAATCTAGGTGTCCTAAATTTACGGGAGAGATCATTAAGACTGCCTGGGATTTTTCTACTGTAGTGTCTGGTCTGATGGTAGGTGGAGGATCATACATGATTTCTTGTAATTACTCTGCACCCATCTGTTAGATTATTGATGACCCCTCCGGGAACAGCTTTGTGGAAAACCCACATGCTCCCCAGAAGGATGATGCCCTGGTGATCACACACTATAACCGGACTCCACAGCAGGAAGAGATGTTGGGGCTCCAGGTAAGTGAACTGAAGAAGCCAGAAGAATGCTTGGAGTTAGTGAAAACTTATTTTGCTGCTGTTGCTCTTTGTACCCTATCTCAGCATGCTTGTGCTTCTCATCTAAGTCACGTCAAAGATTTAGGGTAAACTTTACAATAAAGATCGGCATTGGCTGTGATTTTAAATTCTGTTTTTCTTTTGACTGGGGCTTTGCTTTCTAGCTTCTTGTTAAACTCATGAGGTGGCAGATAACAGAAGCAAGCCAGAGGATTTTCTCTTGCTCCAGGGCAGGGTGTTGGGGAGGCTGAGGTATATGTGCCAACATGTGATTTGCTTCTCTGCTGCTTTAGGCAGAAGCACCAGAA